CATGATTTTCAAAATTCACGATTTTAATGGGTTATAACATATAATATTTGCTCATTTTCATTCATTTCAACCCAATGGAAATTAATCAAGTGTACCAAAAAATTCACAAGTTTCACGGGTTATAACCCTTAGTTTTAGTCTATTTTGGTTATTTTTGACCTAAAAGCAATTAAATTTTCTTTCATAAAAAAGCATGATTTTTCATAAGGTATCACCTACAAATTCCTGTCAATTTATGTTCTTCGACCCCATTGAAAATAAATGTGTACTTTAAAATTGGTGATTTTTTTCTATAGTCTATGATTTTAGTCCATTTTTGATTCATTTTAGTGAATAACAATTAATTATTTGAACTTCAATATTCACTGTTTTCATGGGCTATAACACAATTGTATCGTTCATTTGGCCCAATGGCAATTAATTATGACTGTCAATTAATTATGACTAGTTACGTTTTTGCGATTTTGACGGGTTATAACCCACAATTTTGGAAGTTTTTTGTCTGTTTCTTCCCAATAACAAGTAATTATACGTACTTTAAATTGGCTATTTTCGTAGGTTGCATAATTTGTGATTTTTATCAATTTTTATTCATTTCGAACCAATGATAATTAATTATGCATGCTTCAAAATTCATGATTTCATGGGGCCACATTTTCAAAATTCACAAATTTTATGGCTATATAACCCTCGATTTGTTAATTTTTAGTCGTTTCGAGCCGTTTCCTTCAAAAATCGCGATTATCATGTAACCAATGTTTTGTCAATTATCGTTCTTTGACCTAATGGTAAAAATGAATCTGACATTTAAATTCTAATTCATATAGGTTTAGCGCATGAATTTTGTTTATTATTGTCTATTTCAACCTAACGGCAATTAATTAGCCGAACACTTTCAAATTCGCAATTTCATGGAATAGCCTACAGTTTTTTTTTCATTAATTTTCATTTGTTTCACCTCAATGGCAACAAATAATGTGTATCAAAATTTCTTTATTGGGTATACCTAATGAGAAATAAGTATGTTTACTTCAAAATTCACGATGTTCATTGGTTATAACTTACGATTTTTGTCCATTTTTTTGTTCGTCTCAACCCAATAGCAATTGACTAAGCTTATTTTAAAATTTGTGATTTCATAGGCTATAACCCACGATATTTTCTTATTGTCATTCGTTTTGACCTATTGACAATTAATTATGCAGACCTAAACATTCGTGATTTTCATAGATTGTAACCCACGATTTTAGTCTATTTTTATTAGTTTCGACTCAATGACAATTAGATTTTCTTTCATATCAATTCATGATTTTCATGAGCTATAACCAACATTTTTTGTCAATTTTCATTCTTCAACCTGATGAAAAATAAATACACAAACTTAGAATTTTGTGATTTTCATTGGCTAATGGTTCATTGTTTTTGTCTATTTTTGTTTGCTTCTATCAAATAGCAATTAATTGAGCAAACTTCAATAGTCGCGATTTTTATAAGCTAACCCATGATTTTTGTCCATCATCATTCTTTCGGCCTAATGGAAAATAAGTAAGCTTACTTTAAAATTTGTAATTTTCATGGGTTATAGTTGATGATTTTTTTCATTTTTTTTTATTCCATCCCAATATCAATTAATTGTGTAAACTTCAATATTCATGATTTTTACGGGCTGTAACTCATAATTTTTGTCTATTATCGTTCATTTCGTCCAATGATGATTAATTATGACTATTTCAGAATTTCTAATCTTGATGGGCTATGATTTTGGAAATTTTTGTTTATTTTGTCACAATGGGATGTAATTATGCATACATCAAAATTCGTGATTTTAATAGCTTAACCTATAATTTTTGTCAATTTTCATTCACATCAATCCAATTAATTGAGTATGTCAAAATTCATAATTTTCATAAACTATTGCCCACGATTTTCCAAATTCACGAATTTCATGACTATAACCCATGATTTTCATCCATTATCGTTCATTTGATAAATGATAAATAATTATGCATACTTCACAATTCGTGATTTTCATGAGCTATAGTCAATTTTTGTCCATTTTTACGTTTCAAAATAATAGCAATTACTTGTGTGAACTTCAATATCCTCAATTTTCATGGGATATAAACCATGATTTTTTTCCATTATCATGCATTCGACCCTATGACAATTAATTATGACTACTTCACAATTCACGATTTTGATGTGTTATAACCTACGATTTTGGCATTTTTTGTTAGTTTTGTCCGTATGACAAGTAATTATATATAATTCAAAATTCGCTTTCATGAGTTATAACCCTTGATTTTTGTTAATTTTTATTTTTCAAACCAATGGCAAATAAATATGAGTATTTAAAACTTCACGATTTTCATGGGCTATTACTAACGATTTTCAGAATTCACGAATTTCATAGGCTATGACACATGGCTTTTGTTAATTTCTTTTTTTTAATCCAATAGAAATTAGTTTTTATTTCTTTAAAATTTGTGATTTTCATGGACTGACCAATAATTTTGTTAGCTTTCGTTCTTTGACCCAATGACAAATAAGTATGCGCATCTTAAGATTCACAATTTTCATAGGCTTTAACCTAAGATTTTCATTCATTTGTCTTTTTCAACATAATGGCTATTAATTAGGTATACATTACTAAATGGGTTATAACCTATGTTGCATGGGTATGGATACTAGACATGGCAAATTTGTAAGAGGTAGGGTATAGGGACACCGCTATATAAATATGTATATACACATATATTATATATTGGAATATGAGAACAAGGATGAGAAATTAAATTCCAATAGCGTTTCTATATTTCTTATTATGTGGATTATAAATTGGCAAAACATTAATTTTGATCTAGACATTCAAATGACCCTTCAAAATCATAATTCGGAATCTGAACTATGTCCAATGAGTTTCAAGAAGTGGATGTGAAGTGTATGATATATGTCCAAAAAGTACATGACAAGTGTTTTAAATTAAGAAATGTACTATATAATTGAGAACATGCCCGAATAAATGTATGCATATGTGCAAGGAGGGTACAGAGAATTTGGGTATGGGTACGGGTACATGTCGGGTATGGGCATGGCTTTAGATTAGAAGTACCTAGATAACATAGGTTATAACCCACAGTTTTCATGCTTTGCATCTATTTCGACAAAATGTCAACTAATTATTGTTTATTTTAAAATTTGTCATTTTCATAGGATAAAACTCACATTTTTTGCTAACTTTCATTTAGTTTGATCTAAAGACAAATAAGCATGCCTACTTCAAATTTCATAATTTTATTTGTCCATTTCGACCTAGTGACAATTAACTAAGAATATTTCAAAATTCTCGACTTTTTGGGCTATATGCCGCGATATATTATCATTTGTTTCAACTCAATGACAGATAATCATATGTACCAAATAATTGTGTTTTCATGAATTTTAACCCACGGTTTTAGTCTATTTTCATTATCGACCAAATGACAATTGTATTTCCTTCAAACAAATCATGACATTCATAGGCTATTTTCCACTATTTTTATCAATTTTAGTTTTTTGTCCCAATGAGAAATAAGTGTGCATACTTCGAATTTGTGGTTTTATAGGCTTCATGATTTTTTCCCCATTTTTCTTCATTTCAATGCAATAGCAATTAATTTTGCGAACTTCAGTTTTCGTGATTTTTATACGTTGTAACCAACGATCATTGTCCATTATCTTTCGTTCAACAATGACAATTAATTATAACTACTTTAAAATTTGCAATTTTGATGTACCATAACTACAGTTTTGACAATCTTTGTTCATTTCGTCCTAATGACAAGTAATTATACGAGTTCAAAATTCATAGTTTTTATGGCTATATAACCCAAATTTTTTTGTCAATTTTTTTTGGTTTCGACTCATTGCCAATTCATTATGCATAGTTTAAAATTTGTGATTTCATGTGCTAATACCCACAGTTTTCAAAATTCATGAATTCATGGGCTATTCATGGGCTATAATCCATGATATTTGTCAATTTTAGTTCGTTTCGAGCCAATGGCAATTAAATTCTCTTTCTTCAAAAATCGTGATTTTCATGAGCTATAACCAATTGTTTTTGTCAATTTTTGTTCTTTGATCTAATAGCAAATAAGTATATGTACCTTAAAATTCAGCATTTTCATGGGCTTTAACATGGAAACTTGTCTTTTTTTTATCTATTCAGACCTAATGACAATTAATTAGTTGACCACTTCAAAATTTATATCCTTGAAAGAGAACTATGATTTGTCGTCTATGAAAAGTGAATTGCATTTGGGCCTATTTTGTATAAGCTTCTACATCTCTTTCAATCCATACTGTTATCAACCTCAAAAGTAATGCCCAGCTAACCCAAGATAGGATCATTATTTTGTAAACTTGTAAGTTGGTCCATACAGAAATCCATTATATTTTTAACATCATGATTTCATATTGTTTACAAGTTTATCCTATATTAGTCGACTGGGGTAAGGAAACATGAAATACAATAAAATATATATATAAATGTAGTATATTTTAGGGCTGAATGGTTCTAAATGTGATATAGCATAATGTGTTAGTCATCCTAATCATCAGAAAAGACTTCAGAATCGAGCATAAATCTAAGTTGAGAAGGGTACAGAACACTTACGAAATGAGCTCTTGTGGTTTGTGAACAGCTGTTAGTCAATTATTTACCCTGAGTGCTATTAGAATCCTAATCTAAGCAATGAAAAAAAAAAAGATCCTAATCTCAGCAATTGAACGCAGAGGAGGGTTTTTCATAAAGCCAGAACTACTGTGGGCATTATTACCTTGCCGACATAATGGTAACGTTGTAACTAAGGGGTTGATACGCTGGTGTTTTGAATTTTTAGGATGATGAGTTGAGCTCATTTGTGATATATGTGCATCTCTTTTCCATCTTTTTCGTCCTCATTTGTGAGAGGCTGATGAGTTGAGCTTAGCTTTCTTTTGTTCATCATTTTCAGGTAAAGACATCAAAAAAATTAAACTCAAGGCCCTTCGGAAACACATTGGACTTGTCCAACAGGAGCCGGCACTCTTTGCTACCACCATTTATGATAACATCCTCTACGGAAAGGATGGTGCCGCGGAATCAGAGGTCATTGAGGCAGCGAAACTTGCAAATGCACACTCCTTCATCAGTGCTCTGCCTGAAGGCTACTCAACTAGAGTTGGCGAGCGTGGGGTCCAGCTATCTGGGGGGCAGAAGCAGCGGGTTGCCATCGCGCGAGCCATCATAAAGAATCCCGCAATATTGCTTCTTGATGAGGCAACCAGTGCGCTTGACCTTGAGTCTGAGAAAGTTGTCCAGCAGGCGCTGGATCACGTCATGAGAGGCCGAACCACTCTCATGGTTGCTCATCGGCTTTCCACCATCCAAAATGCTGATATCATCTCGGTACTTCAGAATGGGAAGATCATAGAGCAAGGAAACCATTCTACACTCGTGGAGGATAGGCAGGGGGCTTATTTCAAGTTGATAAACCTTCAGCAGGGTCAACAACAACAGTAGCTTTGTTACCTGCACAGAAGAATCCTGCTCCTCGAGACAAAATTATTGCAATTTTTTATGCAACTTTTTTCACTGTGTATTGTTGTATTAACAATGTTGATAATCAGAATCAGTACCTACAGGTGTAAATTGTTATTCTTTCTGTACTCGCTTTTCAACTTTTTTTCAAGAGTAACTGTTTAATTTCGTAGGGTTAGAAATTTATTTGCATCATGCATTCCTTATGTTGGGTATCAGTCCCGTATCATTAGCATCAATCAAAACCCAAGCATGTCATTCGTGTTACGTATTTCGTGGAGTCATATCATTAGAATCTTACATGCGTACTGTATCATTCGATCGTGCACATGCATACCTGAAAATGTAAGAACAGATACTTGGGTACGACCCGTATCCATTCTAGTGCTACATCCACGAAGGCACGCTTTCGTACTAGTTAGCAAAAGAATGTTAAGGATCTTTAACCGATGGGTTTCCTTCGCACGCTAGGTGCTGGTGTTTCTTTGTTTATGAAACTCGCCTTGAAGTTTTGTTTGTTGTTCCTGGGGAAAAAGCAGGAACTCAACATAAGGGATTCCTCCTAGAATGGGCAGGCAGGCGGGTCCTTCTGATTTCTGATTAACGCAAGGGATTTCTCTAAGCTCTTTCATTCTACATTATAGTATGGTTTATAATTGTTTTCTCACTGAGATTAATTAGGAGTATCTTCCTCCTAATCTCAAAGTGTTTGACAACAGATTTAAGAAAGCAGGATATAGGAATACAGGACAAACCGATGCTATGTTCTCCTGTCTAATGATGAATAAGCTTTCTTTCCATTAGCAGCAGGACAGAGGAAAATACTCTCCAAAAAAAACATAATACTAACCTGTTAGCAATGCACAGAGTTTAAAATAACAGAACAATAAAACTAGCACAACTCTTAACAACTATCCAAAACCATTAACGGAAAGGTTACTGACATGTTGAAAGAATGTAGCCAGAAGCCTGAAACTCAGTCTGTAATTAGCATAACAAATGGATAAATAAGAGCAATAGTAGCAACTAAAGGCAAAACACCACCATAGAGCCAACTCTAAGTAATAATTCTAGGGAGGAAGTTAGTGATTTCTGTTTGACCAAATTATGTGTTTTCTTCCTTCTCTATTATTTTTGCGAAAAACAAGTATATGTAAAGATAGGTACATTGTATTAAATTAACCATACTTTGATTATTGAAGAAATTAGAGACGTGCTCTTTAATCTCGCTCTTTCTTCGTAATCTTTTCTTTCCCTCTTCTCCAAACTTTTGAAACCCTCTTGGTCCTATCTTTGGACTCCGACACCTTTCCTTTTCTGAACCGATAGATGTACCTCGAAAATTAATGGTTTGTTGATTTTCGCATATTACTCATTGTATAAGCATTGTTGATTCTGCTGATTAATTTTAGTCAGGTCCAGCTTGGTTTGAAATAAGCTGAATCAACTTGGCTACTTAATTTAACCATGAAGGAACCCTCAATTTCCTTAATAGATAGAATATCCTAGTGTCTGTCAAGAAAAAAACTGATCAGGTTAACTAACAAACAACTTGGTATTTTCATCTTCAAATAAATCTCGAGCTTTGACTGCTGGTTGAATGGTCAGTTTTCTAGGTGATCATATCCATGTATCCAATCCTCTACATATGGAATATACGAGATAAGAATCTATGATGAATGCCCAAGTGAGGAAAATTCACGAAAAATATTCTGAATGTCCGGTGTAGTACAGCAAAAAGCATATAGATTCATTTTGTATAAAATTAGTGCACGTCAAGCGTAAATTTTGGTAATTTTTTATTCCTGTAATTAGTAAAATTGTGTGGCATTAGTGCTAACCCTACCTGTTTAAACTCAGTCTTTTAATTTCTTATCCAACCTGCCAGTGTCTAAGAAGCTACAAACTGTGGTTATACTCTAAAATGCTTAAGCCTTTTGACCCAAGTGAAGACTAGATATGCTAGTTAAGCTCCCTTACTAATTAAAACTAACATCAATATCAAAGAAGGATTAAAATCAAGATAACATGTGATTATACTTTAAGAGACAGTACTTGCTATACTTGCCTTTTGTATATGTAAAACAGTTATACGCACAAATTCCTTTTCATATGTAACCCTGATAATATTTTACCTAAATCAAAATGGAAAAAAACGAAAGATAGCATGTGATTAGACTTTAAGGATACGTGACTAATGCACAAATTCCTTTTCATGGGAATGTTTTTAAATGTCCTATTAAGTACAGCAAAAAGGATACGGATGCATTTAGCATGCAACTGATGAACATCAAGCATGGACTCAGGATATTCGTAGTCTGTTACTCGGTACTTTCAGCACCTGAAGAAGTTGAAGTTAAGCCACTACTTACCTTGGATGAAATTCATTGCTGACAATTATGCCAATTAACTCTTCCAATTTAGTTTTTTTTTTCCTTCGATAACTTTTTAGACAATTAGCAATATTATTAACTATAATGCTTTAGACTTTTGACCCAAATGGAGTAGTTGAATACATGTTTTGAAACAAAGTAAATCCAACATAGGGAAGGATTAAGAGAGAGAGATCATGCTATTGGAGGATATATTTGTGTATAATATATCTAATATGCAGTAACTTTTCTCCTGAGACTGCATCAAACTTCTTATAGTAAAAGGATGAATTTTATTCCCAGAATATAGTTAAGTATACATGCAAACCACTACTTCTATACTTTTCTATACAAAAATATTCATGTTTTCACCATTTCCGTATAGACAAGTACTTAAAATGTAAGTTCTGTCAGCCGCAATTGCTGACAGCTGCAATTGTGAAAAAACAAAAAGATGGCGGGCCCCAAATTAATTGCACCGAAAGAAGCCGCACCGAAAGGAAAAAATATTAAAATTTTGTGAATAGTATTTTTTTTCCCGGTTGCTATAAATAGGCCCAAAACTTTTCAGAAAAAAATACATCCTAGAAAAAACAACTCCACATATAAAAGATTGAGAGAGAAAATTAGTGAGAGTTTCTCCTTATAAAGAGATATTGTAACTCCTCATAGTGGAGTCTTCTATCCTTACCCGTGGTTTTTACCCCCAAATTCATTTAGGGAGTTTTTCATGTAAATCTGTGTGTTTATTTTATTACTTCTGGTATACTATTAGCTAGGACCCTGCTCTATTGGGCCCCGAATTTGTCCCTACAAGTGAAATCAAAGTCTGGCTTAGGGTACGTCTATCTACTTATCGTATGCTTTGTGGCTGTCACTAAAAGTAGATCATCCACATCAGAAAATAAGTTAGATTATCATTTACCCTTTTTATCATTTACCCTTTGAAGGCACCGAGCACTATTCACAAATATGGTTACTATTCACACATACAGTTACTGTTCACAAATACTATTATTGTTCATGTGAAATAGTAGGAGTTATCGTTCATGGTAGAAGCAATGGCGGCGAAGTTCGAGATTGAGAAATTCAATGGGTGTGATTTCTCATTATGAAAGTTAAAGATAAATGGTATCTTGAGAAAGGATAATTGTCTAGCAGTCATCGATGCAAGGCCGGACGACATCACTGATGATAAGAAGTGGAATGAGATGGACGAATATGATATTGTAAATCTTTTATGTGGCATTATCAGAGGGGGTATTGTTAAGCATAAAAGAGAAGAAGACAGCAAAGGAGATCTGGGATACTTTAACAAAGCTATATGAGGCCAAATCTCTGCATAACAAAATCTTCTTAAAAAGAAGACTTTACACTCTAACGATGGCAGAATCTACATTGATGACCGACCACATCAACACCCTAAATATATTGTTCTCCCAACTCACAACGTTTGGGCACACAATCGGTGTGAATGAACATGCAGAACTTTTATTTCAGGGTCTACCTGACTCGTATGAGCAACTTATTATCAACCTAACAAACAACATCTTTGCAAACAATCTAGTCTTCGACAACGTTGCAGCCACTGTTCTGGAGAAAGAAAACCAGCGCAAGAATAAGGAAGACAAGCAGGAAAGTTCGCAACAAGCGGAGGCCTTATCGATGATGAGAGGAAGATCAACAGAACGTGGCTCCAGTGAGAGTCATACCCATGGTAGATCAAAATTAAGAAGTAAAAAGAATATCAAATGCTACAACTATGGTTAAAGGGGGCACATGAAATCAGAGTGTTGACGTAATAAGAAGAGTGATGATAAAAAATCTTCAGAGTCATTAACATCTCAAGGATGTGTTGTCAGCACATCAGACGATGGTGAAATTTTATACAGTGGAACAACTACCGTTGATGAAGGCAGAAAGAAGTTTGTTGATATTTGGCTTCTAGATTCAGCAGCTTCCTGGCACGTGACCTCCCGGAAAGAATGGTTCCACAAATATGAACCTATCTCTGGAGGATCTGTATTATGGGCAATGATCATGCCTTGAAAATTTTTGATATTGGTACTGTCAAAATTAAAAATTTTGATGGTACAATACGTGCCATTCAATATTTACTACATGTGAAAGACTTGAAGAAGAATCTGTTATATTTAGGACAATTGGATGAGCTCGGATGCAAGATCCATATAGAAAATGGGATCATAAAAATTATTAGAGGGGCGCTTATTGTGATAAAATGAGAAAAGATAGCTTCAAATCTATACATGCTCAAGGGAGAAACCCTACAAGAAGTTGATTCATGTGTGGCATCAACTAACCATAGAGAAGAACAAACCATGATGTCGCATTGAAAACTAGGCCACATGTTAGAATGAGACTTGAAGATTCTCTCCGATCAAAAGCTGCTTTGTGGGCTCAAATCGGTAGCTCTTCCCTTCTGCGAGCATTGTGTTACAAGTAAGAAGCATCGACTGAAGTTTAACACATCGAGTTCTAGAAGCAAGGCTATTCTAAAACTGGTTCATTCTGATGTATGACAATCACTAGTTACATCCATGGGAGGAGCAAAATACTTTGTGTCCTTTATTGATGATTATTCCAGGAGATGTTGGGTGTATACCCTATTAAGAAAAAGACAGATGTGTTTTCAGTCTTTAAAGCTTACAAAGCACGAGTCAAGCTTGAATCTAAAAAGAAGATTAAGTGTTTGAGGTCAGATAATGGAGAAGAATACACAGACGGTAAATTTCTTCCATTCTGTAAGCAAGAAGGCATCAAAAGATAATTCAGTACTGCA